CCAAACCTTATTAGCAAATAGGTTTGTATGTAGGTAGTAAGCGTTCCCCAGCTCAATATCTGGGTATATAGCGGTGGTATTGTGGCAGTAGCGGTATAGCGCACACACACGGCGGTTATTGGTAGTTCAGAGGCGTTCCGAATAATTAAGGATCTAGGGTCTACGCGTCAGGGGGGAAAAGATGTTTATCTTTACTACCCAAGGTGGTTAGGTTGTCAAATCTTGAAAGGATTTCCTCCGTACGCAGTATTCGGCCATCTAAATTGTCCTAGTGATTTGAAATAACCCCTCGTATCAGACTAACCTTGTAAGCTAGCCTCTTGATCCATTATTACCGAGTATGTATGGAGTACTATCTAATCTTACCATTATTTCTCCATTCCGACACTTTTGGGTCTACTCTACATCGTACTAACACTCCATCTAGTAATCATGTCTAACCTACTCTTTAGCATTCTTACTTCTTATTCTTAGCCCTGCTTCGGCAGGAGCGAAACCCCATTCAGTGAACGTTGTTTCCCCACAAATTCTCTTGCGCAAGAACCATAGAATCATATCTTTAACATCCGAAATTCCACGTTCCCACCACAATGGTTCCGTCAAAATGGAGGCTCAAAGCCAGACTCAAAGTCTATTTGAATGCAACCAGTGTGGTAAGAAATTCCAACGTAAGGCACATTTACTTCGACATCAACAGCAACGTATGTATTCTCCCCATTCCAAAACCCAAGATACTCAAGCGACGATCTTATGCTGTCATCGAATGTGGAGAGTTTCCTGACGTGTGCGAAATCTAGATTCCGGTGTTCGACCATTCAGCTGCATATTCTGTACCAAAACTTTCAAACGCAGGTAAGTACCCGAGAGATGCACAAGCTTGTATCTTTGTATACTCTTCAATACTCAGTACTGACAATGTATCATAGCGATGTTCTCCGAGACCATTTCAGCAGATGCGAACTTCGCGGATCTGCCGCTATCCCAGATTCCCTAGAACGAGGGCGGAAACGACACGCTTGCAATGAATGCTCGAGGCTGAAGGTCAAATGTGACAATGAAGTACCATGTCACAAATGCAAGGAATTTGGAAGGCGTTGTATCAAAACTTGGGGTACCAGTATGTTGTCAATGCTCACTGAAAGAAAGTTTGCGATATCGTTAACAATATGTTCAAGATTCCGCTTCATCGATAAAAACTTCTGCAAGCCCGGAAACGCCAGCTCCTCGATCTCTAACGCCTCCATCTACCACTCCGGAACCTACATCAGATCGAAATTCCATTGGCTTCCTATTGAATTTTCCAAATGAGGCAGACTTTATGCGCGAATTCCCAAAAGCTTCAACAGGGAGTAGTCCAAAGGAAAGAACTGCGGAATACACAAGCTTGGTCCCTCATAATACAATCCAGCCATGGGCCACAGGAGACATGATGAACCAGAATATGGCAAATTTTGGATACACTTCGAGTATGGATGTGGACCAAAACCTGGCCTTTCTTCACAATTTGGAATTCGACACATTCGAAAGACAAACGCATGGATGGCAGTTTCCTCAAGACAATTTAATTCCTTGGTCACCGGATGGAATGTTTAACGATCGAAATGTTCTAGAACAACGTGCCTACGATATACGGGAAAAGTTGAGATATGCTGCAAGCTCAATGGTTGGACCCAATGCTATCTCCAAAGAAGTTTTGGAAGCAATCGAGATCATAACTGCCGATACTATTGCTGCGTATATCAAATTATATTTTAAGCATTGGCATCATCATGCACCTATGATTCACGAAGCTACCTTCAATCCATGTACAGCTGCATTACCCCTAGTACTTTCGGTCATGAGTCTTGGTGCAATGGTAAGCGTGCTTCATATTCCATAAATATTAGAGTTAAATGGCTAATGAAAATTTAGTATTGCAAACAGGCCGATGAGGTAGCGAAGGGAAAGCTCCTTTTGGACATCATGGAAACCTACATCTATTCAATAAATGGATTCAATGACGAATTCGACTTACCCGGTAGAACCTATGCTGAGCGTACGAAAAACTTGTCTCAAGAATGGTTACAATACCAATTAGAGGAATTTCAAGGCGCATATCTCATTGTGGTTGTGCAATACTGGATTGGCAATGAGATAGCAAGGACACGGGTGAGGCAACAACGCTTCGCAAAATTAGTATCAGTGAGTACCACAAATCATATGTTTTCATGGAGCCGAGCTAATATTGGGCAGATATACCGCTATCTAGAATTGAATATCGTACAACATTCTCCTGGGTTTGTTATCAAAGATCAATCTTCGTTCAGGGATTGGATTCGTAAAGAATCTTATATCAGAACGGCAACTGTGATGATGATGCTCGACAACGCATTTGCAATATTCAACAATCTTACTCCAAGACTTCAATGGACAGAGATAGATCTCCCATTTCCTAGCAATGAGGGGTATTTCAAAGCTGCAAAATTTGAAGATCTCAAGGATCATGCAGGTTTTCCCATTTCAAAAATAAAGATAAAGGATGCTTTCCTATTATTGTTTTCTCCTATGGAAACCGCCAAAGAAGACCTGATACCATTATGCAACCGCAATCTAACTGCTTTGGATATGCAGATGCTCATTCACAGTAAGACTATCCATTTACATTGAACCATGTACAAGGCTGACTCTATAGTTCTCTACGTTCATATATGGACTTCAACATTCTATAATCCTTTGGTTCACTTACCCTCAACGTCCATTCCTTCAATCGTTGCACCTTTCAAACTCGCGATAAAAAATTGGAAATTTGTTTGGGATGATATCAAATCAGCGGTAGATGCGGATGAATGGAATAGGCTTGGGTTTGAGAGAACAGCGGAAACTTATTATACTGCCGTTAAAAGTATCCTAGACGTTTTTGAGCTGAGGAATGGAAAATTTCCTCCTTTGCCTAGTGATTGTGAGAAGGGTGCTCATATGAAAAGGCTTTTGAGTTTTTGATTTGGTAGCATGGAGATATATATGTTGGTTATTCGGGTTTGGGAATCGGAGTGAGTCGGATTTGGTGGAATGGATGGTCGGATGGATGGATGGTGTTTTGGTTTCATATGGAAAGTGATACTCAAATGCATATTGGGAATACATGGGATTTGATTCAACGAACATGTTTATGGGATTGGGTAGGAGTGGAATTTTTTGATATTCAAGAGTCTGAGATTTTTGAGGAATTGTACAATTTACCCGTGTCTTAATCATGGAACACCAAGTTCCCTATTATCTTCAATCTCCATTCTATACCTAATGTTAATCCATTACATTCATTTGTCCAGTTGGGATTATTAATCTTATTTACTTTTGTAAAATCCAAGTAGATTAATTAAGTGTTATTAACAAAATGGGAAATACGTGTGCATAGGTACTGGTATCTAAAATCTCAAGTAGAGATTAACCTTACGAGAATTCTTCTGAAAAAATGACGTCTACAAGTGTATATGATGTGATTGATTGTGGGTATTTGCCGACGGGTTTGAGATCGGCGACGCCCCGAGGTTTAGGAAGTTCTAAAGTCTAAATTAAGGAATAGTGCTAGATTGGAGATCATTGGTGGATACTAGATGGAGAGTATAATTAGTTTCTTTCTATTGGAAGAAGATGGAAATTATATGAAATTATAGAGATAACTTGATGTTCGTACATCGGAAATTACGAAAACTCCGCTGCGAGAAAAGAAAAAAAAAGGGCTATGCGAGTTTTTATCTGCAAATACTAGCTAGGTATGTAAGGTTATGTATGTATTTTATCTTCTTGCGGTAGGTATCTGCGTGTCATGTGCGTATAGCTAGCTTCGGAGGAGTGTACATTTTGGCGATGGGATGGGCGAGGATTCGGAGACTAGAAGTGCTGGATGTTTCAGATGGGGGAGGGAGGGAGAAGTGAGAAGTGAGAAGTGCCGAGGTCGAAGGAGCGAGAGAGGGAGAGAGAAGGGAAGAGAGAGAGAGAAGGGAAGAGGGAGAGGGAGGCGAGATGAGGAGAGTTCGACCGAATCGGTGGTAGTTCCTGGATCAGGATGTTTTGTCCGGAAGACCTTCGGAGGAGGGGGGCGAGCGAGTCAGTGGTTGGTAGGTAGCATCGGTGATCTGCATGGGATTTTTAATGTCCGTTATGGGGATTGCATGTTGTGTGGGAACGTGAAACTTTAAGAGATATGGGTGATCTATTTAGGTCTTTTCCAAGTGATATCGGCATGGGAAATTGGTGATGGGGAATTAGAATACGATACCTGGGTTTTGGGGGATGGTAAATTTATCTATGGGTAATATTTATGTGTGTTTCTACACATCGTGCAATTACCTCGTCTTCGTTTGGATGTTAATATGCGCTAGCATTTGATTTTATACTAGTTTATAGCTTATTTTTTTTTGGCATCTTCATTGGGTAGGTGGTTGATCAGTCTTGTATTTACGTCGCGGCAGTGGCGCTTATTGAGTCTCTTTCTTCCTTCTTAAGACTATACCATATATCCAACATCACAATATCAGAATACGATCATCTCTCTGCCCTTAAAACCAACCCATGTTTTTCAAAATCTCATTCTATTCTATATATTCGTTTCTCTGCTATACATACCTAGGTACCACCCGGTCTCTTCGTACTATGTCGTGTGGATATCTATATCTATATCTAGGTATCTGTGAATTATCTATCTATTATCAGGACTCTCTCTGTGTAGGGAAGTTCATGAAGAAATGAAATTTGAGGGATGAGATGGCTTTGGGAAGAGAGGTGAGTGTGAGTATATCATTATTACAACTGTTGAATGGAGTATAATGATTGAAAGATTTCCCATCATTATATTTCAATCAGAAATTGAAAATCTTTCAACCATTCTGATCCTCTCGATTGCCAAATCAGATTTGATAACCGAAACCCATTGAATTGTTGAACCAGATCTGACGATTAAAAGCACTTCATTTATTGGATTGAATTCACAACATTCCAAATACTTAGGTGTCGATGAAGTAACATTCCGAAGAAAAGATTGATTATATTAAACATACAAGAAAATGTCACATCATATGTCCACCTCTTTCCATCTCCCCTTCAACCTAAATTTATATCACTCCACTATAAACAAGCATTCATTAGCATATCTTTCCCATACAATCTCTCCATACATCCATCCAACCCAGCTCCTTGACAATCACACCATCCTCACGTCGCAAATCAAAATAAACTCACCCTCTCAACTTCACAAATCACCTCTTCCCACGCCTCCAACACGTCGAATCCCATCCCCAACAAAACATCCCGATCACTTCCCACAACCCAATTCAACACCACTCCCTTTCCATCCCCCTTATTTCTATTCTGTCTGATACTCAACATGACCAATCCTTGCAAGATTGTTTCTCGTTGCGCATTATTCGATGGGATGATTGGGGCTAAGATACCTCCTACTGAGTTATTCCCATTTCTATTTTCTTCCTTTTCTTTTCCCTTGGGATTGAAATTGTTGGGATTTGTATGGGAAACAGAAGTAGATTGAATAGGAGAAGAAGAAAGAACGGGCATCCAACGCGAAAGCATAGTACCAGACTTTGAGATAATAATCGTGCCCACGAGACTCCCATCGATTGGTGATTTAGCCCTCACGATACCACAAGATTTTGGATCCATGATTGCGAGATTATAAAGACTATGAATTTCAGGCGATGAATGGGTCTGGACGAAGTCGAGAACTTGGGTTGCGGAGTTGGAAGGACCATGAATCAAATCAAATTGAAGGGATAAGCGTTGGATCGTTCCTAAGAGGCCTTCTGGAGGTGTCCAAATTGATACGTTGCGAATTATCAACGTGTATAGGAATCTGGGAGAAAGGATGTCCCAGCCATTTGTAGCGAACCAACGTTTAAGGCGTGCACCTTCGGTGAGGTCACTCATAGGAATGCCAAGGTAGATAGCTGGGAGGGTAGAGCCGAGTTGAAGGTGAGTGATATTTGGTTTTTGGAGGAGATGACGGAGGGCACGTTGATGGAGGGAGTGGCCGATTGAGAGATTACGCTTGGAAGGGTCGACAAATAGGGTGGAGATTGTACCGGTGTGAGTACTGGGTAAATAGGTGGTGGAGCAAAATCCAAATAGAGCTTGAGTACTGCTGTTGCGCACAACGTAATGAGACTCTTCAAGAGAATTATTGTTTACGGCAGATGGCTAAGAACGTGGAGGAAAGTGTTAGCTATCTTATACGTGAATTTAAATGCGAATACCATGGTGTAAAAGAGAGTCTAAAACACATACCATTTCAAACGAGCCCGCTGTTGCACCCGCTAATGCCGATTGTTGATTCGGTGGAGTAGTCTTCTCGATAGATGTAATAAGTGCTTGTAGACCTCTTGCATCTCTATCTCTATTATAACTCTCCACTAACCAATGCTGTCTCGATTTCTGTACTTTCCTACTCTTTCTAAGCGTAACAGGTAATGTTCCTTGAGGAACAAAATCCCCAAATAACGCCCTCACCAATGCTTTCATAGCCGTTTCCGTAAAATCAAAAGTACAAACATATGTCCCAATACTCTTGTCCATAGCAAAATCATATGGAGAACTAACTGAAACCACAATCAATGACTTCTTCTTTCCTGCAGAACTAAGCATCGAACACATCATAGCGACATGTTTGGTAAATCCATTTTGATATAAATTTCGAGTTGCATCAGCTGTTATAATGATAATGGTTCCTGCTCTGTTGATCAGATTTTCATGGACTGGTCGAACTCCATTTGCGGTATATGAAGTATGAAGAAGTCTTCCATGTCTTTGACGTGCTAGAGCTCTCCCTAATTCTCGAAAAACACCTTCACCACTCATGATTGATGATTTGTGTGATTTTTCAGATTCATTGTTGGTAGATTTTGCACTCTCGTGACCAAGAGTTGCGGTAGATGCTGGTAATGGCTTCACTAATGGTGTTAAAAGGAGAAGATCATCGTCATCTTCAGAGTAACTATTTGATAGCGGGAGTAAATGGCCTTTGTCTCTCATGATAGTTATTGAGTTATCGTATGCTTTTGTAGACAAAGCGAGATGGCCAGGATGTAAAGATGTTAGATGGCTAATACCTGGAGGGTTCAAGGCTTTAGCCCAAGATGTGCACTGTGATTTGACCCTCAAGACTCGCTTCAAAGAGAGGTTTATACGTTCTCTAGAGATCATGTCATTTTCCAGTCCAAGTTTCAATCCTGCAATGGCTTCTCTTTGAACAGAGTAAGAGCGACAGAGAAGTACCAGATCACATCCAGCTTCTACTGCCATGACGGTACCACCTCTAACTCCAATATCATGGCTTAATGCTTCCATCTCAAGACACTCAGAAACAACTACACCATTGAAGCCAAGATCGTTCCGAAGGAGATCATCCACAACTTGATCACTAAGACAGGCGTGCATGACATTCATTCCTATTCAGTGTTAACAATACAACTCAACAATACAAAAGATGAACAAACCAGCATTTGCTATTGCACATCCACCAACCATGATGGAATCCATTCCTTCACGAATAGCATTTCGGAATGGAACCAGAGCACCAAGACTTAGCTGCTCAAGAGTCTCTGTGATAATGGGCATGTCAAGAGATGATCCTAGGAAATCTAAATTTCCATAAGATGGAAAATGTTTCCCGCAGGAAGCGAGCCCGGCATCCTTATACCCATTCATGGCAGCAATACCATATTGAGAAACTTCTTGAGGATCATCTCCAGTAGCTCTAACACCCAATGGTTGATAACGAGCATTTGTCAAGACATCAAGACAAGGGCCCATTATCATATTAACACCAACTGCTGATAATTCTTTGGCTGTTGCATTGGCAACTTCGTATGCAAGCTCTAGAGATCCAGTTGCTGCCATTCCCATTGCACTGGGAAACTGACAGATGTAATCTTCATCAAAAAGGCTATTAACGCCACCATTCTCTTGATCAAGAGCAATGATTAAAGGGACTAGATGACCAGCTTGGTGCGCGATCGTTTGGAGTTCCTGTACTAAATTTGCTGTCTCTCGGGCAGCTACTCAGGTCAACGATTGTCTATAAGGGAACTTGAAGAACAACATCATCATCATACAAATGATATGCACGTGAAATATATGCGACTGGGGGGCGAATTACATGGCTGGGTCAAAAGCCATCAAGGTGACAAGTCAAAGCCACTGCCAACTGCCCATTGGATTACAAAACGACGGGGAAAAAAGAAACACTACAAACAGAAATAAGAAATACAAATTATTACACTTCATGTTCTTGGTCGACAGCAAAATAGCACCTAGATGATGATCTTCAATAAGAGTCCTGATTTGAGGAGTAACCTCGGTCCCCTCAAATCCCATCATAAAGCATCTGTAGTCAGAGATACCCGATTAGTATCCAGGATCAAAAAAAAAATCGCAGAGCTATAAAACATTGTCCCATACAGCTCGGTAGATTAAGAATATACTCCACTGTCCCATGGCCCTTTATTTTGTTAGCCTATTTCCAAGTCTCTATGTAAATGGCCCAGAACCTACCAATCGAGGTCCTTCCACAAAGGATCCAGTTCCTCTTCTGTAGCATCCATCTTTGATATGTTCTTGCTGTACAAATGTCGTTATTTTCCCTCCGGACAACGTAATTTAGAGAGTGTAACAGGGCTATAAACTTGAGCGCAACGTTGGCCGGGTGTCTAGGATGATCGTCTGCTCCGCTTTCCGTGTGTAATTAAGAAATCATGATATGTGAAGAATGCTATTGGATGGTGTTATACAAGGAAAAATGAAAATGAACGTATTCATCACAGCCGTCGCTTCTTCGCTACTATTCAAAAGGTATGCATGAAATATATTTTGATGTATAATCATCAGCCTCACATATCCAGCACCTTGGGGTGTGTCACTTGAACAGATGTAAGTGGTTGGTTTCAGCTAGGGTGTTGTAGGACGTACAAATGTACCTACGAGGTACTAGACAGTGATAAGTGGGTGGCTGGGATGTTGTTCTTCCTCCATCTGAATTGGTCACATGATGTTGCACCGGGGAATTGTCGGACTGTGCGCCGTGGTGTGTGTGGCTTTACTCCAGACAAATATCACGACTTGAAAATTGATTGCTCAGGAAAAGACAAGCCAGCATGTTTTCAAAGTTCATACAAAATTCAAACAATAACATATAATCTCGGCGACTTGGCATATCATTATTATCATCAAGTGATTTCAAGTGTGCTTGATAAATAGATTATTATTCGACAATTTAATCATTTCTCTTGAATTTAAACTACCGACCTCCGATGATCCTTCGATTCGATACGACGTTACATATGTATTTGCGGTTCCCTTACAACATAAGATCCCAACATTGAACGTTGATGGTAGCTCGTCTTCCTCTCCACTCAATCAACCACACCCTCTCTACCAGCCCAACGCTACGATATGGTGGATAGGATAGATGCAATATGACATGATACTGATACTGATGCTGATGCTGATGCTGGGTCATGGTATGATACAATTGATAACACATGAAATTTTCAGTTTGGAAGATACTTTGCCCTTCCAAGGTTGTTGTTTAAGGTTATCATGTTTTAGATGAGCTAATGTTCGGATTTGCACTATCAAATCATCCCCAGTACGGCATATGCGTTGGTAGGTAGGTAGGTAGGTATGGTCATATGTAAGTAAACTATGGAAGGTACAAGTGAATTCTCAAAGTTCTTCAAATCTAGAGATATTCATTTTCTAGTGAATGAGATTGCAGTACTATTTGCATGATATCTTCAAATCTTCTTTCTCTTTGTCTCCTACCTTATTTCTTAAAACACTTCCTATCTTCCTACCTTCCTCTGTAACACAACTCTACAATCAAGCCCACAATCATGCCATCGGCACTACCGACCTCGACTTCCAAAGTCACAAAGTTTACAAATTGTCGTCTCCTAAAGGGCGAATCTTTAGTAACCCAAGATCTATGGGTCTCCTCCTTCACCGGTAAAATTATCCAAAGCCAGGAAGCTTTCTATGGTCAATTATGTGTGCCAGATGAAGTTATTGATCTGGGTGGTCGCATTATCTCACCAGGTTTCATCGACACACAATTAAATGGAGCTTTTGGATTCGATTTCGCTTCTATACCAGAAGGTGATGATCCTAATACTTATGCAAAGGAATTCAAGAGGATTAATCAACTGTTGATTAAGACGGGCGTTACTTCACATTTACCTACTATCACATCATCGAGGCCGGAGGTCTATCATCATGTAAGTATTTGGTGTGATCTATATGGATGAATTTGTACTAACAATCTCCTCAAGGCACTTCCATTTCTAGGTCCATCTGGAGCAAGTCGTCTTGCATCAGATGGAACCGAATCACTGGGCGCTCACGTTGAAGGACCATTTCTCGCTCCCACCAAAAATGGAATCCATCCCCTTCCCGTCCTATTAGCTCCCAAATCCAACGACCTCACTTCCCTCTCAGATTGTTACGGTGCTTCAAACCTTCTCGGAAATATCCGTCTCATAACCGCTGCCCCCGAACTTCCACACATGACTTCCCTCATCCCAACCCTTACCTCCCCCCCTCACAACATCATCTTCAGTATCGGCCACACAGAATCTACCTACGAAGACGCCACCGCCGCCGTCACCGCCGGAGCAACAATGATAACCCACCTCTTCAACGCCATGCTTCCTCTCCATCACCGCAATCCCGGAATCTTCGGTCTCCTCGGCACAACCCCCACAACCAATTCCTCCCCCTCCACCACACCCCCCTCCTCTCCCCTCGTCACTCAAAACATCATCCCCCCTCTCCCCAAACCCATCACCCAACGCCCCTACTTCGGCATCATAGCCGACTCCATCCACCTCCACCCCACCACCATAACCCTCGCCTACAACGCACACCCCTCAGGCCTCATCCTCGTCACCGACGCCATGCACCTCGTCGGTCTCCCCAACGGCCGCTACGCTTGGAACAACGATTTCATCCTCAAATACGGCATCCACCTGCGTCTGGAATCCGATGGGAAAATCGCAGGCTCCTCCATCACGCTCGTCGAATGCGTATCCAATTTCCTCAACTGGACAGGATGCAGTGTCGCGCAGGCCTTGAAAGCAGTTACCGAGACCCCGGCGAGAATGCTGGGCTTGGACCATGTGAAGGGTGGGTTGGAGGGGGGAATGGATGCGGATTTGTGTGTGTTGGATGTGGTGGTTGAGGAGGGCAGGAAGAGGGTTGTGGTGGATGAGGTGTGGAAATTTGGGGTTAGGGTTTTTGAGAGGGAAGGGGAGGAGAGGGGAAAGATTATTGGATAGGGAAATGAGGAATTCTGGTTGTTCATTATTGGTGGGAAGGAAGACTATGAACGCTTTTTCAATTGGAGTTTCTATTTATTTTTCTTCATTTGTACTTACAGATTAACAAACATAGCGAGTGTACTCTACCAAATTGCCAAAGAACTACATAGATAGAAATTGGTTTCACAGCCCAAGTCAGAACGAAAACACATAGATACAGATGAATTTTTGTCAAACTAGATACTCTTGATACTTTGTATACTTGTGTTGTATGTGTATATTTGTGTTAAATATTTACAATAATCCCATACACAACACACAACGCGCACACATCATTGCAGAACACAATAAAGATTATTAATTTATATATTCATTTATTCATTTCTCATTGACCCTCATCTTGTCTATTTAGTAATACAGAGGATTCGTGGGAATCTTAGAAATTTAGTGTAGGTGAGTTTACTTTAATGTAAATAACTTCCGCCTCGCTCGCCATAAAAAACAAAAGAAGCAGAAAGGACTTGGTATCTTGCAAAGATACATATGGTCCAAAGAAGAAAGTGAAGAGAAACGTAGAAAAGCGTTGCGTAGATCTACCCCCGAAAATCGTAAAGACTAAAAATTCCGCTACGAAGAGAAGACCTTGTTATCTTGTGTCCATGTAACCCAATTTGATCCTCCCATGCCCAATATTATCGAATCCGTACCCAAACTACTAACCGCAGTATCAAACCGATACAATTCTGCTTCCCATACGGTCAGGAATTAAATCTGGAGTAATGCTTCTGCGAATTGGATACTCGGTAGCTGGTGCAGCCAAGAAAGTGCTTGTGAGAGGTTGTGGAGACTTGATGGTAGGTGTTTCTTTGATTAAGCTCTCTGCCATAGGTGCGAGAGGGACAGTACGCTTGGGGCCTGTACGAGCAGCAGATGGAAGGATTTGTTCGAAACCTTCATCGGCAGCGACTTTCTCAATTGATTTCCAGTACTGTTTGAAGTTTTGTTAGTAACGGAGTTCAACTATGATTAAGAAAGGAAGTTGACCATGGAGGGGTAAGTGGATGGCGGGGTAAAGTAAAGTGGGGCAATTACTCTGACTGTTTTAACTCGAAGCTCAAGTGTTGCATCTTCATCTGCAACGATCATTGGATGTGGATGCATCTGTAAAGAAGAGAGGGTCCACATGTGGTTCACACCTTCTTCAATACATTTTGCCAAAGCCAAAGCTTTATGTGCTCCAGTGATAATGATGACAACTTCTCTAGCCTCCAAGATAGTTTGAATACCCACTGTCAAAGCCATCTTTGGAACCTTTTCCAAATCGTTATCGAAGAATCGGGAATTGGCAATGATTGTATCATATGCCAAAGTCTTGACCCTTGTACGAGATGCGAGGGAAGATCCAGGCTCATTGAATGCGATATGTCCATCTGGTCCAATTCCGCCAAGGAACAAATCGATTCCGCCCTTTGCTTTGATAGCTTCCTCATATTGTACGCATTCGGCCTCGAGATTCTCGGCATTGCCATTTAGGATGTGGACGTTTTGAGGAAGGACATCAACGTGGGAGAAGAAATGCTTGTACATGAATGTATGATAGCTTTCTGGGTGGTTGCGCGGAATACCAATGTATTCATCCTATGCAAGTTACTTATGTTAGTGATCTGACTTGATACTAGAGGTGAACGCAGCTTTGTGTGCAAAGTATACAAACATACCATATTGAAAGTGACCACATTTCTGAATGAGATTTCACCAGCCTTGTACTTTTCGACGAGAATCTTATATATGCCAATCGGGGAGGAACCAGTAGGAAGACCAAGAACGAAAGGATGGTCTGGGGTAGGTCCGAAAGCGTTGATACGATCTAACCAAAATGTCAATCGATGTTTGTATCTTCAGCCAGAGGTAGAATCTTACCAACAATGTACTGCGCAACGTAGGCAGATGCCTCTGTTCTGCCATCTCTGATGATGAATCTCATTTTGATTGTATTTGAATTAATGTAGGAAGTTATGAGGATTTCTGAAGTGTGGATATTAAGGTATGTAGGTGTTTGTAGATTGTAATGTAAGTTTGCAGAAAGTTTAGGTATGATTATATTCCCGCAGAGATGGAGTATACGGCATGCGAACAGTGAATATAAAACCGAAGATTATCTACCTTGTAGATAATCAAAGAAATTGGACAAATGGATTGCCGTACCTGCCCTACCCTACTGATATGGGTTTCGTCGCAAGATGATGGCATCAAGCCATTAGCTTCCATGCTTCACAACAAGGAAATGCAAACTTTCATCGACAAACCTTGATAGAAAGTTCTCATGATGGTGTTGTTCATTGGACAGTTTCAAGTGTTGTGACCATTGACTCTATCATTCTGCCCCTCCATCATCTTGATAGTGTATGGAACGTCACGACGACCCAGTACTGATAGCCTTACTGATACCGGTAGTTTGATAGAAAGAAGGATGGTAGTTTGCTTACCCCACAAGATCGATGCATCTCCACTAACGGCTGTCACAATGAGCCCTAGAAGCCCCGAGTCATAAGTTGGTCAATAAGTTCCGATGAACGATCAAGCACGTTGACCATTTCATTGGCATATCATATCCATATCATAATTGTTGGTTGTTGGTCGTCGTACACATAGTTACACCCACGATACAAGCTTTCCAAAATCCCTCCCAAAGTTGATGGTGGTGAAGTTTCAAGGAAGGAGGTGGGAGGGGAGGGTCGGAGAAATTCCAAAGGACGTTTTGATGGATGGCTTGGTGTTTCTTCTCGTTGTCTTACCGTTACATTCGCTTAAAGCTTATCCCGATTAGAATTGTGGATTGGAGGAATGAATGTACGGAGGAACGCTAGATTAATTCATGAAGTACTGATGGATCATGGATGGAATTGATCTTCCGTCTTGGTACTTGGGTTGTGAAGTCGTAGAGGAATATTAGTTAGAAACTGCCACGACATATCAGATCACAGCTGATGAGAGAAGTTGATATCCCAAAATCCAACCTGTACTTTGACAATAGAAGTGATCATTATTGATGCTTAGATAAGCTTTCAAATCTTCTCAATTCCTCCTTCTCCCCAAAGATCCTCCTCTGAGTTCTCTCACATTTTTCTATCATGTACTGTACATATCTAATCCACTCACAGCTTTGTGCCGTAGAAAGAAATCATATCCAAGCTTTCCTGTAGATGGTGGTGGGTGGTGGGACGGAGATCCAAATGCAAAATGCTCTCCCCAATTGTAACGTTGCTTTCAAACGAGCAAAGCAACTAATCGTTTTTGCTCGCTACGATTGTATTGGAACCCATTATATGTAATATTACTACATACGGTTTAAATTCAATGCGATACGAACCACATATCATGAAATCTTGACAATTTGACTCATGGGAATGCTCTGGGAATGTTTCCCTGAGTCTGATTCTGATTCGGAGTCGGAGTCGGATTCTGCGTCGGATCTACTACTACCTAGGTACTTTACATAGTATCTCATCCAAAGATGAGGAAGGGGCTATTATGCAGGGGCATATCCATTTTCGATGGTCTTGAGGATCTTGTCCTGCTGAACAATGCAGCAACGCAGCAACGCAAAATTATGATCAACTTCTAAACAGAATGGAGGGACGGCTTAGCATTGGACCCTTTATTTCCAAGTAGCTTGTTTCAATTGAAGAAGGTCACTTTTGTTAATTTATTTTCATTACCATTGGGATCCAACTTTCTGGGAAATGACGAACCGAGTGAGGATACGATGTTACTCCCAATCATTCTTGTCTACTTGTAGCATTCTCTTCAGTCTTGGCTTAAACCTTTTCCCTTATCCTACCAATTCAATCTATTCTTGGAGCTGGGTAACCAATTGTTTGATATTGCATTCCTCGTGAATGATGGCGCAATAGTTACCCTCCCCAGGAAAGTAACAGGTCTTGTACGTGTTTCCTCCATAGACAACCATTCATTCATTCATCCATCCATTCATTCCAGCTTGTTACCACAAAACGGCAGAAACGTCTAGCCTACATAATTTTTACGAGCACGAGGGTAAAAGTCCTACTGCCATATTTCTTTTTCACATCGTATACCTCTAGCGCCCGATCTGTCCTTTCCTCTTACATCCATTGGATCCATTTTTTTGACTCAATTGAAGTTTACCATCTTATCAATCTTTCAGTTGTTTAAACTCCCTTCTTCATCTTTGTTGTGATATGGAGCAGGCGGGATCCATATCAGCACTACCCTAGCACTTTCGTATTTTAGCGCGTTAGTCTCATTGAGCATTTCCTATATGTATGAGGACTTCATATCATGCAGCCGTTCATCGCTGCCATGCATAGCGTACGACAGGCTTTCTATGCCGCATTTATCAAATCTTTTCTTAAGACAAAGTCGATTTTAGAGATCATCATCAAATTCTGGATTGCGCCCTCGACCATCAAACGGATCAAGGACGAAAATGTTGATGTAAAGGAGATTTCACTGACGAAAGTCAAGAAGTTTTTAGACGAGGTTGAAGCTGCCTTTAAAGATTCTACGACAGAGGCCTCCTTGTTGGCATTATCAGATGGCTTGAGAAAAGAGTTCGCGGAGAGCTTATTGGAAAATCCACAATGTATGCTTCCTTCATACAATCATCAATTACCTAGTGGTCATGAATGTGGAACATACCTTGCTCTAGACGTTGGGGGGTCGACTTTTCGAGTGGCTTTGATTAAACTTGCTGGAAAAGGATGTGAAGGGAAAGAGATCGAGGTTATTGGATTGAAGTCTTTCAAGATCAAAAATGCTGAGAGACAGCTTGTCGGGGTACAGTTCTTCGATTGGATGGCAGATCGAATTGTCGACACTCTTTCCGGGGAAAAAGAAGAACATGAAATTTCACAGGCACCCTTATCCATGGGATTATCCTGGTCTTTTCCTATTAAGTATGATCATCAAGATAATTATCCAATACGAAGTCAGCTGACGGTAGTTCACAGTCAAACATCACTCAGGGGCGGTTCTCTCATGATCATGGGCAAAGGATTTTGTGCTGCCGATGGATTGATTGGCAAAGACCTAGGCGACTTGATTGAAGACTCTTGCCTGAAAAGAGGACTCAACGTTCAGTTGAATGCCATTGTGAACGACTCTTCAGCAACATTACTTTCCAAAGCATATATAGATCCTACCACTCGTTTCGCATTGATCTTGGGAACTGGTTTGAATGCTGCAGCTCATCTTCCTGTCCACATCTTTTCACAGCCAAAATTTGGGATCCGTCCTGCATCTTGGCATGATTGCGCAAAACATGTTATTGTCAACACGGAACTCTCAATGTTTGGTGGAAGTTATCTTCCGTACACAAAGTGGGATAAAACTTTGAAGGCAAATCACCCTCGACCAGACTTTCAACCATTTGAACATTTCGCAAGTGGTGGATATATAGGAGAAATCGTACGATTAATATTGATTGATGGGATTCAGAGCGCAGGGCTATTTGGAGGAGTGGTGCCTATGAATCTAAGGGAGAAATACTCGCTAGAGACCGAAACTCTCTCATACATCGAAGCGTAAGTCACCAACTATAAGACACTTTTCTTTGTAGTTGCCATCATCTTCATGCATTTATAGTTACCAAACTAGACTAACACTATCCTTAGCGATACAACTCCATACCTCACTACTGCCATAGAAATATTTACCACCCGTCACCCATCCTCTCATATCCCCACCGAAGTCGATCTTCGTGCTTTACGACTCATAGCTTCCCTCGTAACTCTTCGATCTAGCGGTCTCATTGCTGCTGGTGTCCATGCCCTCTGGCACATGCGTAACATATCCGAATTAATCTCACCCGCCAACTCAACTCACACAGTCGTGGCTTACAATGGCTCTGTGCTGGAGAATTATCCAGAATTTCGAAAAAATACACAAAAACATATTGATATGCTGGTAGAAGCAAGTGGTGCAAGAGGCAGTATTGTGGAGTTAATGTATGCGGAGGAGAGTTCACTGTTGGGAGCGGCAGTCGCGGTAGCTTGCTGCAATGCTTGAATTGCAAAAGTAAGGAGTGCGGTAACAGGTAGCAAAGTTTTACATCGTCTTGCATATCATGAATATGACATACTGGCAGTGCATATATACCTAGGTAGGCATAGGTATACTCTGTTAAGCGGGATTAGGTGTTGCATGGACATAGAAAATTTCTTCTTAAAGCATTGTCTTGGAGTTTGAGATTACATCGTTGATATTATCAGTATCATTTATAAATTACAAGAAATATAAAAGTTACCTGTCTCTATACAGAAGAAAAAAGAGGCTAAAGTTTCTACTAAATCAATCGATAAAAAAGTCAGTAATATTAAATAAACTCTTGAATGTTCTTTAATTTAGAGAATTAAACGTTCAAATAATCTAATCATTCTAATTCAATTTAGAGAATTAAAAGCTTAAATAGTATAATATAAATAGAAGAAACTATTTAATACTATTAAATCTTATAGACTTGTTATATTGTTGATTTAATATGAAATTTAATAAGGTGATTAAATTTGACTTCTTTTTTCTCCTATAACCTTACATCCTGTCTGAATGAGTGAGATGAGATGATTAGAAAACGCATGACTTCGCGTATTTAGCGCGATCAAAATACGCCAATCCTTAATTTATCGCGTCGCGTATCGTCGTCCTCTTCCTTATCAAGTCCATCTTTTCCTTTCCCGAAGTTTTTAGGCTCAAGATCAAGCACGATTGAATCTTTCGGAAGAAGAAGAAATATAATGCTCCTATGACCTAACTTGCAGATGCTCCAAATCCCTGGAAAATCACAATGCTCATTCCATCTTATTTATCCAAACCATCTCCCATTTTCGACAACGCGCAAGCCTGAGACATCTGCCAGCGGAATTCAAGCCACGAAAATGACCATTGATAACCTTCTTAGGGGCCTCAATGCTTCACAAAAAGCCGCCGTCTCATCACAAGCAGATACCCTCGCTATATTGGCAGGACCAGGAAGTGGGAAAACACACACTTTAACGTCGCGAACGGCTTGGTTATTGCAACAAGGATTGCAACCATGTAATATAATTGTGGCAACTTTTACGGTCAAGGCAGCTCGAGAGATGAAAGAAAGGATTGGGAAGTTGATAGGAAATGGATTGGAATCAAAGTTAATACTGGAACGTTTCATCGGATTGCGCGAATATACCTGGCACAATACGGGCATTTGATAGGGATTCGAAAGGGCTTTGGAATCGCAGATTCAAATGATTCTCTAGCCATCATCAAAAGAATTGTGAAGCGGAAGGACCTGAATATAGACCCAAAAGTCGCGCGATCTCGCATAAGCTCTCTAAAAGCAAAAGGTTCTGCATCTGCGAGCAAGGTTCCCGAGGCCAAGAAGAAAACTGTGGATACGCAAGAATTCGAGATTGTACATGCCGAATACCAAGCAACCCTGGAGCTTTCGAACTTGCTCGACTACGACGATTTGCTTGTAAGATGTGTCGAGCTTTTACGACTCTATCCATCCTGTGTAGCCAACATTGAAGCCGTTTTGATTGACGAATTTCAAGACACAAACCTGGTGCAATTTGATCTCATGCGATTATTTGCTGTATCTCAAAACGAATCACTATTGTTGGAGACCCCGATCAAAGCATATATAGCTTTCGAGCTGCCGAAATCAAAAACTACAAACGAATGATTAAACAATATCCGGATACAGTTACCATCTCGTTGGAGGAGAATTACCGGTCATCGGGCGCCATACTACTCACAGCACTGAATGTAATTGAGCAAGATTCATCCAGAATTGCAAAGTCTCTTTTGCCTACCCATGTTGTTGGCACACGTCCAGTTCTCCGCAAACTTGCAACTGCTCAGAAGGAAGCAGACTGGATTATTCAAGAAATACAAAGGATAATGGGTATGACAGGCGACCTACTAGACTTGAATGACTTCGCTATTCTGCTAAGATCTTCGGCACTTTCAAGAATAATTGAAAGCTCATTAGGCAAAGCAGGTATAGCCTACCGTATGGTTGGTAAGCATCATCTCTTCTACCAACTGTGCAGCTTACAGCCAGATCAGCGCCTTTAAAAAAAATGCCAGCAACGCGACTGACCTTTGGCTAACATATTGCAGGTGGTCTTCGATTTATGATCGTATTGAATCAAAACGTTATTGGATTATTTGAGAGTGTAAATTTACCTGATCATAATGATGCTTTGGCGAGAATCATCAACACTCCCTCGAGAAGAATCGGCGAAAGTAACCATAAAAGCTCTACTCGAAGAGGCAGAGCAATCTAAACTAACCCTTTGGTCATTGATCCTCAAGTCTGTGCAGGGAAGACGCACACAAAAACCAAGCTCACATCATCAGTCGAGAGAAGTCTTTCGGTCTTTGTTGATATTATCTTGACGGGTATGAAGAAAGTTGCGGATCCCTCAAATAAGGAAAATTCGATTGTAGAGATTTTGGAGTTATTATAGAGAAAAACGTCTTACGAGACCTGGCTTGAGGAACACCGTGGTGACATTACTAAGGCACAGTGGGACAATGTTGAAAGAGCTTATGACTCAGGCTGCAGACTTCCAAGAGCTTATATCCAATGGTTATGAGGATGAATCGCTCCCTCAAATCGATGGTTTGAAACAAGAAGATGCTTCCGATTCCCTCTCTCGATTTTTAGCCAATGTAGCATTGGCTTCGGAAGTAACGAAGGAGGAAGACAAAACACATAACACACCTCAAGTCACAATATCTACCATACATGCTGCTAAAGGTCTAGAATGGCCAATAGTCTTCATTCCTGGTGCATATCAAGGCAGTATACCACACTCTAGAGCAGAAGACACTGACGAAGAACGAAGATTGTTATATGTAGCTATGACCCGAGCTAAGGCTTTACTTAAACATGAGTTGTCCCCTCAAAAACTCATTGCAAGAGTTGACAACGACTTGTCCCTTTCTCTCTGCCCGTGGCCTCAGAGCACATTTAGACTACAAGGGCCCTTCGTTACGTTCAAATACAGTTCAGTGCCTGGCTCAGATCCTCCGGCGACCGTTTCCGACTAGAGAATCAATCGCCGAATCTTCTGCCTGTCTCGAGCGAACTGAGGATACATATTACCCCTTGGAACCGGAGAATGACAAAGAGGACGAGTCCAAGTGGAATGTTGGCAATGGTAACCCCAATTTCACCATGGGTCAGCGACCTGCTAAACGTCGACGTGCTGATATAGCGGACCAAACTGGAAACATTTCAAGCGTGGTCTATAACAACACGCCCACGACAACCATGGAAAGAGCCTCTAAGTTTACCTTGAGTGGTGGGTTTGTTAGTGCTGGCTCTCATCTTCAGGTCCTTGGCGAGCAATTGTCGAATCAAACCAGGGGTGAAATCAAATCAGCTTCAATAAACGAGAAAGCCAAAGGCTCTAAAAAAGCCATCAAAAGTCCAGCTACTAGCCAAGGTACACTCTTGGGGTTCTTGGGGAAGCAAGAGCCACAAAGGGAGACTAAGCCAGCGCCCATAGTCGATGAGTACCGAGAAGAAAAGACCAGGGCTATTGCACAATTACATAGACAGCGAAACACGACCTCCGAAGGACTGATGCAATTGACGCCGCAAAATGATAGCGAAACTCTGCCTCCACTTTTTTCCGGACATCGTCTAGGGACGGCTGCTGCACTATCTCGACCAAACGTTAATCGGATCCAAGGAAAACAGGACGATAACTATGTATTCCTCTCTAGCTCTCCACCTAGAGCAAAACAACCTAGGATACTTGCCGAACCGGCGCCAGAAGTCCCTTCCCCTGGTCTAACAGCAAAACCCGCAATCATGTCGTTGGTCCGTCCCGCGAGAACGATGCATACCACTAGCATGTCAATAGCACAAGGATCGACTGGTGCCAAAAAGACACTCGGTGTCAAAAGGAGCATGAATGGCTGGGCCAATCGTACAACACAGCCCTTTGTTCCCCCAACTAGGAAAAAAGAGAGCTAGATAACGCTTATGAGGAATAACGGTCTGGGATAGTTTTGGATATGGAAATCGCTGTACTACAATCCTGTTATGATATCTTCCATGCGTGGTGGATATAGGAGAGATGCCTCCACTGGTGTGGATTGGAGGAGTATCGGATTTGCTCATGAGTCTGCCTATATGTTGCATAATGCTTAATGAATATATGATTATGAGATCTGATCTAATCTGACCGAATCGATTCCTCCTGGGCTGTAGTGATCACAAATATAGAATTACTCTTTCCTTTTGTATAGTGCATCGCTCTCATTGTTTTTCGGGGCGAAACTACTATTTACCCTTCATTTGTACATCCTGGACAGTTTACAATAGCTTGAAGGGTACTTTGTGGATGGATGTGTAGAAAATCGCTATATTTATGGAGATACAAACACAAGTGTAGTAATATAATAGTAATGATACTACAGCTTGGTTTGTTTCAGGGGCTCTTTGGCACCGGAGGTATTGCTACTCCTATGGCCTGAATACATCTCGAGGCTTCCAAAAAATAAAAAATAAAAAAATAAAGATGTTAGTGAAGTTGTAAGCTGAAGGGAAGTGAGTAATTCTATGATGAAACATATTTGAAGAAAATTGAAAGTGAGATGGTATGATATAGTATAGTATGATATGGTATAATATCAATTTAATGTTTAGAAGAATCTTCTAGAAAAAAGATATATAAAGATATATAAAGATATATAAAGATATATAAAGATATATAAAGATATATAAAGATATATAAAGATATATAAAGATATATAAAGATATATAAAGATATATAAAGATATATAAAGATATATAAAGATATAGACAGATATACTATATTAGAAATTACAATAGAATACTATTTATAAAATGAAAAATCTATATTTTGAGGAAAAGCTTGGAAAGAAACCTAGATTTCTAATTCTATAATATTATTATTTTTCTATAACGTGGTTTAACAGTGGCTCGGCCATATCAGTGGGTCGGCCCACTTTAAAATACATATAAAATCAGCCTTTTTCAATATTCATATTTTAATTATCAATCATTATTTTTGAAAAAGAAAAGAATATTAAATAAGAATAAAAAATCAGTTATTCAAAGTAATAATTTTTTTTTCAAATAATTCTTTTCGATTTCAAAAAAAAATCAAAATTGTCATGATTTTCGTTACAAAAAAGCTTTTTTTTATAATAACTATTTTAAAATTCTAATTTATTGAAACTAATTAGATTTTTATAATCTATATATAATCAAATATTTAATATTAGATTTTTAGAAAATTATATCAATAAATAAAGAAAGTGCACGGTTGTGCACAGACGTATTTTGTATGTAAAAATGGTGGCCGACTTACTGATATGGCCGAGCCACTGTTAAACCACGTTATGTTTAAATAGTTATTGTTAAGTTTTTATATTAATATCACGGGGCAGGCGGGCGGGATAGGGTTCTAATAACTTTGCCCTAATCTGGCAAAGTTATATTGGTTCAGGCAATGGGTTCAGATTGAGGATTAAGACGTAGCTCAAAGAGCTACAATACAGGATCTTCTGAGTTGAAGATATACAGAATTTTCACAGCGAGCTAGCCCGATCGGGCCCTAGCTCGCTTGCGCTCCGGTGCGAGCGCTCCTTTCGGTCCTCTCCGATAGGACCAGCATATCACGTGAGCTCACACCGTGACAATTAAATTATTATATAAATAATTACTCTATTTTATATAATCTAATTATTTAAAGTATTCCTTCTCTATCGATTAAAGTAATCTACTATGTTTCAATTAAAGTAATTTATTAGAAATATTTTAATTATAAATCGTAGGTAACCAGATAATTTAAATCTCTCTAAACAAATTCTATTTATAATACTATCACGCTAAAAGTGATATCACCGATAGCATTAAGCTAATTGGGTTTATATAGGCATATTCTCTCGTGACAAATACTCTAAGTATTCATATATATATAAATTTCGAAATTTAAAAAATTCTACTTTTCTAATAAATTCTTTTATTTCAATAATCTTACTACTACTTTTAATTTTGATAATAAATCTTTTGTATTTAGAAAGAGGAAATACATTAGTATAAGAAGATATCGAGATATCGAGATGAATTCGCTTCTTCTCTTTAATTTTTTCTACTCCTGGTTGATTCTTGTGGGATTTTTTTTGTTCACTTTTAGACTTTCTCTTTCCTTACTTTTCCTCTCCCCCCTTCCCCCCTCCCCCCTCCCCCCTCTCCCCTCTCTTCCCCTCTCTTCCCCTCTCTTCCCCCTCTTCCCCTCACCATCTCCTCTCATTCCCAATTCACTTGTTTTTCATTCACTTTCCTACCCTTCTCCCCCGCCCTCCCGCCCTTCCCCTCTTCTCTCCTCTTCCTAAACTTCTTCTTTCCTCCCTATTCACTTTCCTCCTTCAACACCCCTCTCCCTTTCGTCTATTCACTATTTCCCCCTCTTCTTCATTCTATTCTCAACACATCATTCACCATCTCTAATTTATAATTATCACTCACCAATCCATATCCACCAATCCATAGTCACCATATCATATTCACCAACCCCAATCCCTCATATAGTCCCATCCAAGCACATTCAACAAAATCAGCTGACCACACCCAATCCATCCATTCTACAAGACTACAACCCTCACCAATAACCATCCATCATTCACCTATCACCTACCTACAAACATCTTCTCATCTCGTATCGCAAAAAGTGTGTGTGTGGAGGCTTCATCCGACCATACCAATCAATCAATCAATCAGCCACACACACACACACAACTTTCACACCCTTTTTGCAAAGCCTTGTGATCAAACCCAATTCTCCAAGATCACACTTTTTCCCCCTTCCAAAAGAAAAAACTTTTGTTGCATATCTATCATCCAATCTTAATATGCAAATTTCCGCACCCAAGCTATCAGCTGCTCATTGTTGCATATCGGAGTATTTATACTTTTTATTGGTTGCGCACATGATCTTTATGTTTCAGGCGAAGAATATCTAGGTAGGTAGGTAGGTAGTAATAAGTATGGGATGTTTATTGTAAGGTATCTAGGGAGGGAGTGAGGGGAGGTGGCTGTTGAGGTATATGTATATTTGTATTTATATTTACATATTTTAGGAAGTATAATAAAAATGATAATGATAATGAAGTATTATGAAGTAGGTATTAACCTTGTTATTTATACCAACCACCTACCAACCAACCAACCAACCATCTAGCATCAAACCCAAAACTCACAAACCAAACAAAAATCATTTGTTGCACATCTCAAATCCAATAAAAACACCATCCCATCTCTCCTCAAAAGAAGGTGAAGAAAGAAGAAGGATGCGTGCGTGCGAAAATCTCCACATTATCAAATCCAGTACCTAGTGTCCCCCAAACCAATAAAACCCCAACCCCCCAAAACAAAAATCCCATTTTGTTGCACGCCTCCCAACCAAGGAAACTTCTTGATTTCGTCCCTCCCCCCTTCCTCATTTCTCTCACCTCTTTGTTGCACATCTCAAGCCAATCTCTTCATTTTCTCATCCTTCAGTGCACGACGCACACCCTTCAAAAGCGGTGCTAGCGAAGAGTCCCTAATCCACTCCACTCCACACTTCTACACCGTTCGCTGTATACCCCTTTTCACACCTCCTTTCCTCCCTTCCTCCCTCCCTTCCTCCTGCCTCTTCATCCTTTTGTTGCATATCTAAACCAACCACCGACTCGGAATTGTTTCAAAAGGAAAGGAGATGGATTCAAAGTGTGCATCCATTTCATTCGAATTAAATCAGATGTAATCAAATCTCCACTCACTCACTCCTTTATAACTTCTAGCCAGTAACTCACCTAGCTATTACTAACAAAACAATGACATCTAAATATTACTCTCTACAATAAATCCCATCCCTTCCCAACCAATCCGCATCCACCCCTTCCTATCTCCTCCCTCCCGACCCAAGATCCTCTCCAATTTCCTCCATAAGTTATAACCTTACCTAAGTAAAGTAACATTCATTCCTTCGTATTCATCACGATGCACGATGCACGATCGATACGAATCCGCCCCCCCCCTCCAAAAAAAATTAAAAAATTAAAACAACCACCAAGCGAGCTATTTAGGACAATTTCCTCCATTTGTTGCACATCTATCCACGAACCATAAACTTAGTAACCCCGAACCATGTTCAGTCAAGAATAATCACTGGGTCCTCTGATGAAATTCTCCACTACTACCGATACTCTCTCGTCTCTCCCTCTCTTCTCCTCTTTTATGTAAACTCCTTTCTATTGCTAGAACTGTATTTGCGAATATCTATCTATTCTTATTCCCATTCTCAGTCCTCGTAGTGACAACTTCTCCTTATTGCACTCACTATATTCCTAAACATATACATATACATCCAAATCTCTCTCTCTCTCTCTCTCTCTCTCTCTAACTCACCATCAGTTATCAATGTTCAACCATCAACCATTAACCCAAACACCAACACCAACACCAATATACACACATACAAACACACACCAATCCCCTCCCTCCACCTCACGGATTCTCACCCTATAAAATAAAATCCAAGCGTCTTGATTTAAAAACCTATAAATGAGATGAGCAGAATAGCGATATAATAACCTATAGATATCTACTGGGAGATAGGTACCTAGATGGATAGATAATAAATATATAGAAGCAGTGAGCCTATATACTCTACTCTCTCTACAATAGGTAGATATCTATTTCAATCAAATCAAATCAATATCTCAAATCATTCATTCACTCATTCAATTAATTAGTAAAAACCTTTTATTTCAATTTCTACGTACCTATTCCAGTACGAAGTATATCTAGTATTAAACTCCATATTAAGTAGTCAAACCGCTTTCAATCCTTAATCCTTAAATTCAAATCCAAATTCAATCAATATCGAGAGAGAGAGAGAGAGAGAGAGATCAGCAATTCCAAAACTCTATCAACAATCAATAATCAACAATCAATAATCA